ACAGAGTGAAGATGGAGATTCTCAGGGCAGGAGATTCTCATAGTGGAGGGAGAGAGGGGCTCCTCTGTGAGAGGGTGTCTCCCAGCACTGCTCCTACAACCAGCTCGGACCCTGAGACCCTGGTCAGGAAATGCAGGACTAGCCCACAGAAACTCCAAAAGACAGGTCAGCTTTTCTCTGAGGTTATCACACAGAATCCTATCAGTTATTGCCTCTTGTCCTCAGGTCACTCCTGGATCCCATCTTCCTGATTCTCTCAGTTATAGCCCCTGTCCCACTCTGTGCCCAGGGATGTGGGGTGTCTGTTTTATTAGTTGCTTTCATGTTTAAGACTGCAACCAACCTCTCTCCAATGCTGGGTAGCTTCTCTATAAGGAGACCAATTGTCCCCATTTATTCAGGACTTTCCCTGTTTTTAAACTGACATTTATCTGTACTGAGAACTTCCTTGGTCCCAGGTAGCCCTGGACAGCTGGTCGTCTTATAACTCTGTCCAGGCTGGGGAAATCCTCCCTGATCCTATTCACCACACTGTAGAATCCTGTGACTGTGCTCCCTGCCTCACAAGGCAGTGGGTGCAGTGCTCTCCCAGCTGCACAGACCTCTCTGGACACTGTGAGGACCCTGGTCAGAGCCCTGGGCAGGGTGCCTGGGGATGATGAACCCATGGGCTGTTTGTGTATCTATGTGTTTGTGTGTTTGTCTGCATTTGTGTTTGTATGTGTCTCTGTGTGTGCTTCTGTGTCTCTGAGTAGCTATGCAAGTTTTGCATGTTTTTATTTGTCTCTGTGTATGCTTATGTGTCTGCTTGTGTGTTTCCATGTGTCTGTGTGTGTTGTTGTGACTATGTGTCTGAGAATGCATTTGTGTGTGTCTGCTGTGTCCATTTACAGCAGTGGGAGCATCACTTGGGCTGACCCTCAGAGGGAGAGGCTTACCAGTCCCTGTGTACACGCCAGTCACCCGCTTGGGTCAATGGTACCCAGTTGAGCTCTCCCTTGTAGTAGCCGTGGTCCACCCCACCAAACAGCACCACAGTGCCTTTCACCCTGCATTGTAGAGAGAAAAGAGGGGGGGGGAATCTTTGGAGGACAGTAGCAACAGTACTGTCTGAGAGCTTTGCTCTCCACCCATCCAGGCCCTAACAAGATCCCCATCTACAGATGCAGAACCTGAGTCTAGGAGCGATTGAGAACCAGACTGAGTTCGGTTCCTGGCTAATGAGTGGCACAGAGGAGGTTAGAAGCTGAATCATCTGGCTGGGCTCCACCCACTGTATCTTCTGAAGATGCCCTGGACCTCCTGTGACCTGAGTGCTCAGACACTCAGAGGACAGGGTGCTGAAGCATTTTGGCTCTCTCCTTGTCCAGCTTGTCATTTCTCAGGAAAATCAAGGCCTGGGAGTGCTAAGGGTGTGGGTTCAGGTCACCCAGAGTTGGCTCCAAAGGCCTGTGACCTCTACTGTCCAAACAGCCCCACACACAGAAGGGACCCCACCCCTGCTCTCTCTGTCTTGAAATGCCTAATATTTCTTGAACAAGGGGTCCCACACTTTTGTTTTGTGCCCCACACTTTCGTTTTTCACTGGCTCCTGCAAATTGGGTAGCTGGTCCTGGGCTCATAGTGAAATGCTAATGAGGAAGGAAAGCTACTCACCATCCTTCTCCATTCTTCCTTATCAAATTCATAAGCAAATCCTATTGCCTTTTCCTCCAGTTTGTTTCCTGTTGCCTTCCATTAGTCTTCCTCCTCACTCATCACCCTAGACCAAGTTACTGGTCTTGAGCCCAGGAACACGGTTGTGTTCCAATAAAATGTTATTTATAAAAGCCAGTGGTGAAGCTAGGTATGGTCCTAGGGCTATAGTTATCCTGGGTTAGATTATCTCTCAGAATACTTCTTTATCAAGTGTTCCATAATTTTCGTGCAACTGAAAGCAATTTACAGCTAATTTAGAAAGTGGGATTATCCATCTCAGACTTATTTGTTCAAGTAAAAGGCAAAAACAGGCTCAGACATGGCATGTTGATTCTTCAGGTGGTCAAAATTGGGGATAGCTCCAAAGACAGATAGGTTGGGGTAGTTCAAGCCCAAGATGCCATCAAAGGTACACCCTCACACCCATATTCTGCCATGCTTAGACCGAATGGCTGATCAGTACTTACAAGGTCCCCAATCTGTGGGAGAGAAGAGTGATCCCACTTACAGATACATGAAGTGGGGCTAGGACTGGGATTGGGTGCATTGCCATTAGATCCTCAGGGAAGAATTGAGACTGGGCTGTGTCTTTGGTGGACCTCAGACGGTTAGACCAAGCTGGGAGGGGAATTTGGGTTCCATTTGTGAGAGGCTCTGAATTTTAAAACATCTGCCCCTCTGAATAACACCACCTGAGTGAGTTAAATTGGCCTCGTGGCTTCTGTACAAGTGGGGCAACCAAGAGTCAGGCCAGGTCCCATCAGTGCCCCCTTGTGGACAAAATGAGCCGAGAGCAAGGTAGCCTTCTCTTTGGCATCACTGTGACTTAATGACAGGAATGGACTGCATTCTCTGTAAGGTACTGTGGATTCTGCGTCTGTCCAGGAAAACAGAAATTACAATCTTGCTTACAGGGATCTATTAAATTACTGCCTGGGAAATTCACTTTTGGGAATATGGGTGTCTTTGTGTGGCTTTGAGAGAGAAAAAGAGAGAAGGGAACTACTCAAGTGCTTTGGGGAGGCAGGCCATAGGTTTTATTAGACTCTCAAGGATCCTCTAGAGTGAGAACTCATTTATCAAGCCCTCTGACTTCTCTGGCCTCCAGTTTCCCAGTCTGGATACCTGAAGCCCTTGACTGCCCCGAGGGTCCCTAGATCAGTTTTATCCTGTCCACAAACACCCCACAGCAACTGCAGTCCTGAAAAGCCAACCTAGCTTCATCGTTTACCATATGTGTGACCTCCACAAGGCCCTTGCTGTCTGCACCTGTTTCCTCATATGTCTCATGTGCTAATCAGGCCACCTGCTATGTGGAGTTTTTGCAGGATTAAAACAATTATTACCTGAAAGTGCTTGAACAGTCTGTGAATATAAAAGTGGGTGTTTTTTTTCCCCTCTTCTTGCTCCGAGCAAAATGAACCTTGAACTGCTCATGGGCAGAGAAGCTGCAAGTCCACACATCAAGCCACTCTCTGGGTTAGCTAATCTGTTTACTCGTGTGTCACCACAAGCACTGCCTCCCCAGGGACAGGATCCTGTGGGTAAGATGGCCAATATCTATGGGAGTTAGGCTAGGAAGTGTCCTGCCAGATGGTCCTGCATCAGTTTTGCAAGCAGTGGTCACTCCATAGGCAGTCTTGGCTCAGCTTCTGAATACACGTTACCCGAATGGTGTCATAAGCAAGAAGTCCCTTCATGCTCCCAGATCCATATACGATGCTGAAGGTCTTTTGGGTAGGCTGAAAGGTGGAAGACTCAAGACGTCTGAACATAACTTGTATAGCTGCAGACAAAAGAGATGAGTGTCATCAGTGCCAAGGGTGCAAAAGAGGGGGACGGGCAAGTGAAAGATTCTCCAAGTACAGGGTGTCTGTACTCACAACACGTTGGGCTGGTGCAAAGGAGGGAGGGTACCCACAAGTCAGATGAGCCTGTGTCAAAGATAACCTAGAATTCCTGAGGGGGTGTTCCAATGATGATGTTACCCACATAGAGCATCTACAGGTAAAAGGAGGGATGGGTTAGTGCAGAACTGGCTACCTCTATTCCCACACTGATGCCTCCTTTTGGGTGTCACATATCTCTTAAGATCACTTTCCACCCACTGTGGAGCTCACAGCCTTTGATTACAGAGGTGCTTTCATTTCATTTGTGTGTGTGTGTGTGTGTGTGTGTGTGTGTGTGTGTGTGTGTGCTACATGGTATGCAGGACACTGACTCTATAACAGGGCATTGAAGTGGTACCTCCTGCATTGGAAGCACAGAGTCATAACCAATGGACCTCCAGGACTGCTGGACACCAAGGGAAGTTCTGGTGCCTTCATTTGTGACGCTCTGTAGTCTCTTTAAACCCAGGCTTAACACCCCCTTCTCCAGGAAGTCCTTTTTGATCAACCCCAGCCACTCCCTCTAAACTCAGACCACATTCAATCAACACCACAAAGGTGACCCTTAATTTTGACAGGTATTTCCTCTTTGCCTATCTCTCAGGCCAGCATGGGCATTCTTGAAGACAAAATAAGCCTTTATTCTAATCTAAAAACAGTAACCAATGTGTTAGATTCTTATGGCCTTACACAGAATACAGGTTCAGTAACTTTTTACAGCTTTGGTTCTTGCATCTGTGGAAACTGAATTCCTGTGACTGGGGATTCACAATTGCTTTGCACTTTGTCTACCTTCTGATCAGAGATGGTTCACTCTTCATCTGTATCTGAGTGACTCACTTAGTTCAGAAGGAACCGCTGCTGCTGCTGCTGCTGCTGCTACTAAGTCACTTCAGTTGTGTCCAAGTCTGTGCAACCCCATGGACAGCAGCCACCACCCTCCCCCTTCCCTGGGATTCTCCAGGCAAGAACACTGGAGTGGGCTGCCATTTCCTTCACCAATTCAGGAAAGTTAAAAGTGAAAATGAAGTCACTCAGTCATGTCCGACTCTTAGCGACCCCATGGACTGCAGCCTACCAGGATCCTCCATCCTTGGGATTTTCCAGGCAAGAGTATTGTAGTGGGTCACCATTGTCTTCTCCTCAGAAGGAACAATCTTCCCCAAACTAATGACACATGTTTTACAAACAAATGGATGTTTACCTGCCACCTGTCAATTTCTGGGCCCAGTCACCAAGACCAGGAGCTGAGGATGAGAGTAACTTCTCCTCTGGGTGGGACCCCTACACCCAGGGTTTCCACGTGCTGCAGAAGCCCTGGCCCCAACATCCCACATGGCATCTCCAAATGAACCCAGTGCTAGGCTAGGGCATGAGGGGTGCTGGGTAGCACCATCCTCCCAAAACACTCACTTCCATGATGTTCCTCAGCAGGGGAATAGTTATATTTGAGCCACGAGAAGAAATCTGAGACAGTCTGTAAGCATGTTCCCTCAGGAAATTGTTCAGCATGTTTTTTTCACTGAGGGTATTTCTCATGGTCTTCACTTTCATTAGAGGTATTCTTTCACGGAACATTTGACAAAGAAAACAAAGAAAAGCTACAATTAGCTGTCAGCATTAAGGTATAACTGTCATTGCAATGGCCCTGTGTATTTTCCAATCATTTTTATGAGGCACCTTATTATCAGAATAGGCAAAGACATAGGTTTGATTACAGGTTCTGTTCTGTAATGTTAGGTAAGCCATATGACCATGTGGGGTCTCAGTCTCCCCTCAATAAAATGGTGGAATGTAATGATTCAAACCCACCAAATAGAATATTTTTTGGATAAGTGAAGTGATGTATATAAGGTACCTAATAAATAGGAAGTCTCAACAATGACAGCCATTGGCATTGCTGTTGCCATCCCACTGGATCCTTCTCATAGAAGCTCAGGGAAGGAGGTAGAAGGGGGATTACTATCCTCTTTTACAAGGGAGGAATTTGAAATGCAAGAGGTTTGCGAATTGGCTGTGGTCACATTGTCAGATATAAAACAGTGTATAAGTAGCTCTTCCAATCTTTCTCCAAGTTGAAAGAGAAGAGAGAGTTGAAAGAAGAATCCAAGAGATAGGGAACAAGTTAGGGAAATGTAGAGGCTCGAGAAAGAAGGATGAGTCAAATGAAAAATTAAAAGAAAACAACACAGAGACAAATACACTCACAGAGACTTCCAAAGATAGGGAGAGATAAATGATAGTGATACAGAGAATCAGACATAGACATATACACACTAAATGTTAAATAAAAAGTAGAAAAGTGCTATTCCACAGGACCACACCTACATCTGCATTGACTGTGCACTGAACAATTGCAAGGACTTCCAATTTCCACAGGTCATGACACAACTGGACCCCAAGAGTTGTGCAACTGTGCAAATCTACACCAACCCTTGGGAACCACAGTTCCTGTAGCAAAGTACTTATCAATAAGTAAGAGCTGACCTTTAACACTGTCAGGGAAATATTTCATTCCCTTCTAAACCTGATGGGTGGAAGAATAATCAGATGGAAAAAAAAATCACAGAAAGAAATATGATGTTGCTTACAGTCCCCATATTTACATGACTCTGCAATCTGAGAAGGCCACCAGCCCAAAAAGCACAAGCCACTACATGCTTCTTTCCTAGCTCCAAGTACTTAGGGAAGTTCAGGTTCTTAGCATGTAGTGGTGACTGGGAGCCCCTAGTTCTGTATGCTCTGACATGCCCTAATTTAGCCCTTTAGGCCACTAGTAGATCTGAAAAAACACAAAGGTCTCAATAAAATCTGTACCTTCATCAGTGCCCTTGGTGAGTGGACTTTGAAGCTTCTCAGAATACAGACAATTGAACTATAATCTCCTCCTTGAAGCTTGGCTGGAAAATCAAATGGATCTACATGGACATCTAAGAAGATGGAGAATCTTGCCTACTTGGAGAAAAAAACTGCTAAGAACATCATTAAAACGGATGCTAAATGCCATACTTGACATTTGTGGTTTCATGTCATCTTTCTAGCCGCTTCATGAGATATGCATTGCTGTCTTCATTGAAGAAGAGATTGCTAGGAGGATAAGTTGTCAAATGGCAAAGTGAAGACTTCAGGGACACCCCAGGGACATACAGCTGGCTTTAGGTAGTGGGTCTAGTGGCAGAGATAAGGGGTACCTGTGATGCCAGTCTGCAGCAAAGATTTAGGGCAGAGCAGTACTTCAATTACATGGTTTCCATATTGAAAGAAACATCATATGCAGCCACAAGATATTTTATATCATCCAACTAGTGTACAATGAAGTACTGTGTATTGGGTTCTGGGTTAAAGGCTTCAAAGACAAAGTTGATCAAGACAAAAGTAGTCTTTATCTTCCACATGCTAGGAGTCTAGTTCTCACAAACTCATGGCCCCAGGAGCAAGAGAAATGATAGTTGGTCTAGGTGGCCATGCTGGACCTGGGCAGCACAGGCCTGACCACTGGGAGCAACCTTTCCTCCACTTCAACCATGCTGGAAAGCAGGCTAGTTGGCCATGTTTTCAAGAGAATCAGAAGTTTGGATTTTTATGTACAATCTACTGATTTTAATGTTAGCGAATATTTTTTTTCTGGAAAAAAAAACAGTGAGAACGCAATCTCCACAATGATGTGCTGCAATTAGCCTTCAGTCTCTGCAGGTTTTTATTCCTGGCCTAGACTTGAGAGTGCTGTGAAGACAGAGAGGAATTTAGTTCAAGTTGGTTGATTTACAAACAGACTGAATGCATACTGAACATGTTTGTTTCCTTTCTATTTATAAAGAAAGATCATTGGGGACATAAAAAGCAACAAATTTAACTGCTGAAGATAAATGGATATATTTCTGATAAAATTTCCCCATAGGGTCTATGCCATGAAAAATTATGTCTGCCAAAGCAAACATACAAAAATAAAATAATTTTGAAATGTCTTCCCAATCAACAAAGACAAAAACAGCTGTGGCAGCTAAAGTTAAGACAATCGTGTTTAATGACTCCTCCAGGACTGCCAGGGTCTATTCCTGCCTGAGATCTATCCACACCTATCCCTTGAATACAGCAGAAGTCTCTCCTATTGCCAGGTGTGTTTAGATGGGGCACTGTCACTTAATCCTCATATTTGCATATTGTTCAAATTCAGTTTTGGTAGTTAAATCCCAAAAGGGGAATATGACATCACTGACAAATGGCACACATATATGCCCTTTGAGCTATGGTGTTAGAGAAGACTCTTGAGAGTTCCTTGGACTGCAAGGAGATCAAACCAGTCCATCCTAAAGGAAATCAGTCCTAAATATTCACTGGAAGGACTGATGCTGAGGCTGAAACTCCAATTATTTGCCCACCTGATGGGAAGAACTATCTCAATGGAAAAGACCCTAATGTTATGAAAGATTGAAGGCAGGAGGAGAAGGGGAAGACAGAAGATGAGATGGTTGGATGGCATCACCAACTTCATGGACATGATCTTGAGCAAGGCCTGGGAGTTGGTGATGGATAGGGAAGCCTGGCATGCTGCAGTCCAAGTCGCTACAAACAGAGGGAAATGATTGAGCAACTGAACTGAACTGTACAAATACAGAACAAAGACTGATAAATCTAATTGCATCAAGTTGGCGACTAGATGCCAATAACAACACGTTACTTAAGTGGCTTTAAAACTCAGAATTATGACGACATTCAGAGTCGAATATCTTCTAAGGAAAAACAAAAATACTGCCCATCCATAACAAAATGAAAGAAAACCAAAAGAAAAACAGGAAAGAAATCTGAAACTATATTCAACAACTTGTTGTTCCTCATATTGATTCTGTTATTGAGACAGAATCATATGTATGTTAACAGGTAAAAGCAAAACAATAATTAAAACTAAATTTCTGAAGTAAGCCTTTCAGTGTCTAGAAAAAGAAGTTCACACATAACATAAAGAAGTTTAAAACCCTGCTGTCTTAAATCTTGAACTGAAAGCATAAGTTTGTACCAACTAATTATCCCTTTTTATTTTATTTTTTATGGAATATGTGTACTTCCTACTCTGACCAATGTAAAGCCTACAAGCAATGACAACTTGATAACAGTGACTATTCTGAGGTCTAACATGTAGCTTCTAAATACATTTTCCATCAGACGATCCATGGATTCTTATATAAATGGCTGATTTCAGGACTTGGTCAAGAAATGCAAAAAATAATCTTGGGAATCATTAAGGACCAGAAAGGTGAGGGACTTCAAAGACCAGTGGGGACTGGACAGAAAGTTTAGGAATCCAAATGAAATGGCCAGATATCTACCAGTTTGTTGGGCAGAATGATGTTTCTGTTTCTCAACACACTATGTTTTTCATAGCTTTCCTTCCAAGAAACAAATGCCTTCTGATTTCATGGCAGCAATCATCATCCACAGTGGTTTTAGAGGCTAAGATGAAGAAATCTGTCCTGCTTTGACCTTTTCTCCTTCTATTTGCTATGAAGGATGGGGCTGGATCCCATAATCAGAGTTTTTTAATATTTAATTTCAAGCTGGCCGAATGGGTCCAAATGTTAATAGGCAATATCTAACTTATCACTGTGATAGAATGCTAGGGCACCAACTCACCATTCTGAGCACTGAGAAAGGACAATAATCATCAATATTTATACTATTTTTGTTTCTATTAAGAATATGTTATGTAACTACAAACAGTTCCAGGAAAACAAGCTAGACTGTCCCTTCTGGGGGTGACGAGAGAGTGATGGGGAGCAGCTATAATACAGATGAAGCCTCACTCACTGGCCTGCAGCTCACATCCTGCTGTGGAGGTCTGGTTCCTAATAGATGAAGGACTGGTACTGGTCCTGGCCCACTGTGCTTGTATTGTGGACTCCTGCTTTAAACCCAATAGTGGGACATTCTGTACACAAACCACCCTGCTTCCTCCTAGTTTCTGAACAAATAAATGGCCTTAAGGTTGGGAGAGGAGCAGCTATTTTGTCTTAAAGGAGACAACCAAGTGCAACATATTATTACATTCTTCCAAAAAACTGTGAAACTGCTTTTTTTGAATCAAGGAAATTTATACATGGACTGGATATTAGATGTTAATTTTATTGGGAACAAAAAAGCATTTTTTTCACATCCTATCATTTTACCCCAAATACTCATTTTGTACATTTTGTGAAATGTTCATCTTGTCCCTAAAATACTTCAGGAAAAAATGAATGAAGAATGAAAGGAGGGTCTGTCTTGATTTAAAAACAGATCTGCATAGCTTTTATGGATTGAATTGTGTCCACCCTTGATTCCCAGTGTGATGGTATTAGGAAGTAGGGCCTTTGGGAGGTACACAAGTTGACATGGGGTTTTGATGGTGGTCCCTAATGATAAGATTAGCCTCTCCCTCTTTTTCTTTCTCATTTGCCCTCTTCCTCCTTCCCTTCCCCTACCACAAGTGAGACCATAGCAAGAAGAGAAAGACCTGATACAAGTCAAGAATGTATTCACCGGGAACTCAATTGTCCACCACCTGGATTTTGCATAGTCTCCAGTCTATGA